CTCTTCGAGGATCGACAGCGTGCGCGTAATGATCTCGAGCTGGCCGACAATGTGATCGAACGTCGCGCTGAGGTTCTCGGGTAGCCGGGCGTCAGAACTCGGTGGCTTGGACGACACCACGTGTCGACTCTCGTCCTTGCGCTCGTTTGCCGTTGGCATCTCGTACACAACGCCGTTCTGATCATAGAGGTGGTTGCTACTGTGGTGGTGGTGCTGGTTGTTGTTGCTGGTCGGCGTCCTGGGCTGTTGGTAGGTGCTGGCGTCTTTGGGGATACCGGCGTCGCGGGGCACAGGGTCGTACCGGATCGCGGATGGGTTGCAGAAATCATGCGAGTTGTTTTGAATCGAGATCGGCACCGGAGGCGGCGCGTACACTGGTGTCTCCCGTGCCCTGGCCACGCGGGGCGGCGACTGCCGACGCGGAGAGTACGGCGGCGCCTTCACCGTGGCTTCCGGTGGCGCGTGACGCAGCACGTGCGACTTGGGCAGCGCCTGCGGATACTGCGGCTCGTGCGCGTGCAGGCACTTGTCCAAGTCCGTGTCCCACACCATGACGAGCGCGTCGACACCGCCCGACGCGGTGCTCTTGCCGTCGGGCGAGAAGGCGGCGGCGTTCACTGCGCCTGTGTGCCCGTGCATTGTGTAGAGGAGATGGCCTTCGCGGATGTCCCATAGCTTGATCGTGCCATCGACCGACGTCGAGAGGCAGTAGTACCCGTTCGGATGAAAGTCCAAGCCCGTCACGTTGCCTTCGTGGGCGGGGTAGTGCTGGATCAGCTTCTGGGATCGAATGTCCCAGAGGTTCATGCTGTGGTCGTAGCTGCAGGCGCCGACCGTCGTGCCTACGCAAATGGCACGGACGTCACAAGACGCGAGTAGTATCGAGTCTCGCACCATCCGGGTGGAAGCGAACGGCGTTGATGATACCGCTATGGTCATAGAACGTTGTGATGCAGTTGCGGGTCGCCTTGTCCCAGAGCTTGACCGTCTTGTCGTCGCTGCCAGAACTAAATGGCGGCATGAAGACGCGGTACAACGCAAGCGCAGGCGTACATGAGGAGGCGCGCGTCCGGGCTAAAGCGCGCCGAGCGCACCCAGTTGCTGTGGCCATTCCACGAGCACACAAAGCGGCGCGTCGGAAGCGACCACATCTTGATCGACTTGTCATCCGACGCCGTGAGGAGCTCGGTCGAGTCGTACGAGAAGGCAACGCTGCGCACGCCGCCGACGTGGCCTTTCAGCGTGTGCGATTCGCCTTTGACCGTCGGCGTCCATAGGCGCACGGTGCGATCTTGGGACCCGGACGCGAGGAGCTCGCCCGACGGCGCAAACTGCACGTCAAAGACCGGCCCCTTGTGACCGAGGAAGCGGAAGGCGCGGACCTGCGGCTTGAAATTCCAGACCATGACGGAGCAGTCCATGGCGCCAGAGGCTAGCTGCCGCGCCTGCGGGCCGTACGCCAAGGCGGCGACGCCCGACTTGTGGCCGCGGAACGTGCGCTGGAGCGACGGATCCATCGCGTGAGCGAGATATCCAAAGTCGGTTTTTCGAAGCCGATTTGTATTTTTATGCACTTTAATACAAATATCAAGTATAACAATATACTGCATTGCCGAGCGGCTATAATTCCGGCTGCTCTAACCGGTTTGATGGTATTTTCGGCATAGAGCGTAAAATCGGCATTGAAGCAAGCCCGTTGCAAGATCTCAGATGCGTATCAAGCTTCAATATTAAGCTGCTAGGACCCTGGGGAGCAGTCTCTTAGCCGTTAGTGTGGATGCCTTCAAAGAGCTTATACACCGGTTGGCACCGGATATCGATAGCGACAGCTAGGTGTGGAACTCTCTACTCTCATGATGATTGCAGCCTTTGAAGAGTCATCAATCATACAGACTATAACGGGATCGTTTGAGCTGCTAGGTCCGTGCCAGTGTCCGCATCGGCACGACATTGCTTCTGTCGTTGAAATGCACCGTATTGTACTGTACTTGGTATCTCCAGGAAGAGTGGTTGGTTGGAGGGCAAAAACATTGCACCAACCGGGAATCGAACCCGGGGCATCTGAATGGGAACCAGATATTTTACCACTAAACCATTGGTGCTTTCTATATTTGCCACGAAGCCCCGAAGTCTCCACCCGAGTACCACTCTTCTGTTCCAAATGGTTGCTACCCGTACGTCCTCCGCCAACGCCCAAGCCTCCAACGCTGCTGCCGCCACCACTGCTGCTGCTAACACCACTGCTACTGCCGACACCGCTGCTGCTGCCACAGACACCGATGCTGCTACGGTCGGTATCGCCGCTGCTGCTGCTACAGCCACCGCTGCTGCTTCGGTCGGTATCGCCGCTGCTGGCGCCGTTGCCGACCGTCCTGCCGCCGCTGGATCTCGTGCCGCTGCTCGCGCTGACTTGGCCGCGGCCAAGACCGCCGAAGCTGCCGCCAAGGCCCTCTATGCTGCCGCTCTTGATGCCGTCACTGACACGGCTGGCACCATCGACGACGGTGCCTCTTTGGGTCGTGTGTCTGACGCCAAGCGCGCCCGTGATCTCGCCATCCTTGCCACGGTTGCTGCGGAACACAACTTCGCCGCTACTGCCGAGACGGACTCGGCCGAGGCCACGGTCGCTTCCTCGTCGACCGCTGCTGCGACGGTCACGGCGGCCGCCCGGGATGCGGCCGACCTTCGTGCTTTCGTCGAAACTGGCCGCCTCGCCTCGACGCGCGCTGAGCCTGCCTCTTCTTCTGGTGCGGCTTCTCGCTCGACGGACACCTCGTACGACGCGGACTTCCCGGCGACGCTTGGCGGCTCCGCGCCGACGTCGGCCGCTGGTGGTGTGTACGCCGCGCGCGCCGCTGACCGTGCTGCTGCCTCGCGTCGCGACGCCGCTGCTTCTGGCGCCGGTGCACAGCGCAACCCCGTGCTGGTCTCGACCCGGTTCGCCCTCTCGGGCTCGGACGAAGCTGCTGTGATGGCCATTCATCGCGTGCGCCCGCTGACGTACGCAGAAACGCGCCCGTATACCAAGCACAGCACGCAGCCAATCGTCGCGAAGCTCTCCATTCATTGGCCCGATCACTCGACTACGATTTCGGACAAGGACCTAATCGACTCGCTCTTTTCCGAGAACCAATCGCTGGGCTTGGCGCGCGATCTTGCGAACATTACCAAGGTCGAGCGGCACCTCAGCGCCTCCCAGTCGGTCATCAAGCTCGGCGTTACCTGCCTCGAGTCGGCGCGCCGTCTCACGGGTGCCGAGATTACGCTCAAGGTCCGGCTCGCGGCTGCCAGCAACAGTCCCAACCAGCGCCGTACGACGTCGCTGCGCAAGTTCATCCTCCATGCGCCATCGCAGCTCGCCGACTTTGGTATGGAGGTCCCGGGCCTCTGCCTTTCCGAAGCCGACGAGGCGAAGCTCCATGACACGCTCGCGCACTGCGAGCGGCGGTTTGTCATGTTTAGCTACGCGACGGTCCTCGGGTCGGTTGGCACGTCCAGCGACCGTGCTCTCTTTGTGTTTTCGGGCCCGTCGGTGCCCACGCTCTTCAAGGACGCGGACGGCCAGTTGGTCGGCACGCTCGTGTTCAAGGGCCGTCGTTATGCCATGTTTCCCACGGTGGACGTCGGTCCTCGCGCGCGCGACTCCACCCTCAACATCGACGTCCTCGCCGGCCAGCGCCTGCGAGAGCTTAACGCTGCTGCTGTCGAGCGCAGCGCTGCTGATTCACGTGCCGCGGTGGGCGCGCGCCTTGCCGGCGGCGCGGCCGTGGCTGGCGCCGCCTCGTCGTCTCGTGAGACGACGACGGGGGCCACTGCGGCGCGGGCCTCGACTCGTTCGGCTACTGTCGCTGCCGCTCGTCAGGAGGCACCTGCCGCTGAGTTTGTTACCAAGAAGTCCAAGGCGGCGCAACGCGCCGAGAAGAAGAAGTCTCGTGACGCCTCGCCCGCCCGTGCCCAGAAGCTCCAAAAATCGGTGACGGGTACACCGGTCACCACGGTCAACCCGTTTGAGGTGCTCCGAGAACGCTGGGCGGTCAACACCGTCTTCACCGAAGCGTACAAGACGGCGTCGGGTGCTTCCGTCCCGACCAACGTCCGTCTCTCGGTCGTCCCACTCGCCGATTTCCCGATCCGCGACACGACGGATCTCGTCATCTCGACGGCCAAGGTTGACGCACTTGTCCCAAAGGTCACGTCGGTACCCCTCGATGCTCTTCTTGCCGAGTTTGCCGCGGCTGACGCGAAGCTTGCCGAGGAACGGGCGCGTAGCGTCGTGGTGCTGGAGAGCTCCACGACGTTGCCCGTCGCCGAGTTCCGCACATGCATCCAGTCGTCCAAGATCGAAACCATCTGCAGCCACCTCGTGACTCAACCCCTCCGCTGCGCCACGACTCTTCGCCGGATCCATGACCTCCACCCCAGCGAGTTTGTCCACCTTGTCCGTATGTGGGTCCTGCACCGTATGGCTGCGGCGGCACACGGCGGCGGCCCGGGCTTCGTGAACGCTTTCACGGCGATCCTTGAGGGCGTCCAGGCCAAGTGGGACGCGCTGGAGGCCATGTTTGCTGCCGAATCGTTCACTGAGCGTACGACGACGCGCACGTACAGTGATGACGCGGGCATGGAGCACCCGTTCTCTGCGATCCAGCTCGAGATGACGGCCGCGGTGACCGAGCTGCTCCTCATGACCCACGCTCCCGAGTTCTTCTCCTCGGATGCGGCTATTATGGCACTGCTTGGCACGGGTCTCGGCGCGATCGCCACGGTGCACAGTACGCGCCTCCTCTCGACCGCGACTTTGATGGCGCTGCTGCATACCACGACGCTTGGGGCGCATCTGCGCACCATTGCGATGCGGTGGTTTGACGACGCGTCCCTCTTTCGCCGCGCGTTTGTGCACGCCAAGGGCTTGCACGATGCGTCGGACCTCGTCTTGTCGGACCGGAAGCAGACGATGCTCGACCTCAACGACGTCTTCTTGATTGAAGCCGACCTCTACGCCGAGGGCGACGTCATGGGGGGGCCGGGTGACGGCAGTCAGTACTAAAGTCCTCTCACCGGACGTGCTCGGCCCGACGCCGAGCCTCTCTGTCACCACCATCAATCTCAACACCCTGCGCGACAACGGACATGGCGTCGCCAAGGAGCTCCGCACCCCGACCCCGTGCTTCCTCATGCAAGAGACTCGTCTCTCGCACGCGCAGCAGCTCGACACGTTCGAGTACCACCTCGAGAATGAAGTGGGCCTCCTCAAGTCGAAATTATTTATCTCGGACCACCGTATGCATGCTCTGGTACCGTCCCAATCGCGCAGCAGCGGCGTTGCCAGCTACTTTCACGAGTCGTGGCCGGGCTACGACGGGCTTCGCCACCTCGCGGATCTCGATGTCCCGGGCCGGTACCTGGTTGTCCGCACCGAGTGGGACGGTCGGCCGGTGTACGTCCACAACGTCTACGCGCCTGTGCGGCCGGAAGAGCGCGGCGCGTTTTACCGCCAGCTGCCGCGCGACTTTGAGGAGACGAGCCTCC